CTTAGAGCATTTTAGGTGGGGACACACACAATCGGCTGCATACAACCGGTTTCTATAAAACCGGCTTCTATAAATCCGACCTAATTCTGTAGTGTAGACATAGCCTAAGGAAGACAGCAGGCAGTCTACATGTCCGAGTGTCAGATTTTAGTCAGTCCTGTAAATGGATTACAGCTGACAGCTTACACAGGGCTCAACATTCCTACTTAAAGTAGGTGCCTCAGGGCAGGTACTTTTTTGGGCAGGTCGTAATTCAGTTCATCTATTTTTGAAGTGTACCTGCCCAAAGAAGCACTCTCTCTCCCTTCTCCCAGAAGGGCTAAGTGAGAGAGAGCACAAATGGAGTACCAAGAGAGTAAAGCAGCACTTCTCTGCCCCTAGAAGAGAGGAAAGTTGTTGTTGTTTTTCCCCCTTAGAATGGTAAAATTAAAGATAGGCAGACAAAACAGAAAAGACAGAGGGAAGAGTGAAAACAGGAAGTGAAAAAATAGGAGAGAAAGCACTAAAGAAATTAATGAGGATAAAGGAGATATGCTAGTGAGATGTTGAATCCCTATGGACAATACCTGCAGCTCCAATACACTGGAAAGGGAAGCAGGTGTTAATGGCTTATCTACATGTAACGAGTTTAACCAGGCAGATATTTGATTAGCACAGTTCTTAAAAAGTAATATCCAGTTATCGCTAATTCTTTCATATAAATACTTCTAAGCCTCAGGGAAATGGATTCTCCTGCATTACTGCTCTTAATGTTTTATCTCATGTACAAGTTTATTCATTTTACCTGGAACAAAGTAAGGACCTTGGTGCCTATTATATGTGGGACACCATCTCCATGCTAGTCCATAAGGTCACTATCTAGCTACTTGCATCTTCACCCCCCACCCCCACATCATTGTAGTATCTGAGCATCTCCCAAGTATTTCTCTCTCTATTATTATGATTCATTATTTGTACCACTGTAGTGCCTAGGTGGCCTAGTTACAGACAAGGACCCCATTGTGACAGGCACTGTACAGACATAGAACAAAAAGATGGTCCCCTTGCTCAAGAAGTTTACAATCTAAGTACAGACAAAAGACAACTTTACTGAAATGCAAGATGTACCAGAGCAACATCTAGACTTCTTCTGCCCGTATCAGCTAGTATTTTGATGGCAAGCCACAACTCAGCATTACACATTGCCTTTAAACTCAATAAGGCTTCCAGTTCAAACAGGCATTTGCCAGTAAAAGCCTGTCTGTTTACAATAAAAATTAAGGTAAGCAATTCACTGCAGATAGTAACTTAAACTGGAGACCTGGATTTCGACACTCCCAACCAAAAGCCTGAACAAAACAAAACACCTTGTTAGTGCTCAGGGAATATCCTTCAAATAACTTCTTCACTAAGTAAATGCTGAAATCCAAAGCCAAACTTCAAAAATAAAGAATTCAAAAATCCAGTCTTCTTATCTCTCTGGCTTCCACTGAATACTGGGTTTCATGCCAGACAGAAAAACATGCCTGTTTTGCAAGAGAAACTATGGCCAGCAAGGCAGGAGGCACCTCTGAGGGCAAGACTGGAGGAGATACCCTTATGATAAGAGCTTGTCTATAATTTTCACCTTTCATGTTTTATCATTTGACAATTATGTCTACTTCAAACTCACACTGCACATGAGCCTCCAAGTCCATGTCTCAAAATTAAGTTGCAATTTTATACCAAAGATTTTTAGAACTAGAGGTGAAATATACATCCCCCCAATAACTAGTCCATTTACCATCAACTAAATAAATATATCCTTGTCTTCTGTACCTTATACATTTCCATGGGAAAGTCTTGCTTGTTTCCAACACACACTGTAGGAAGATGAGCCATTGGTAACAATTTCAATAATGGGATCTCCTAGCCACCCTGGAATTGAAGACTACTGGACCAACATTGTCTCAATCATGCTTCCTGTAAGGGTGTTGGAAAAACAATCTTCCGTGCTTGTTCCAATGTTACTGAAAACAGTTTTGTCTTGCCTAAACTAGCGTTTAAAACATTTCAATCCCTGTTCGGAGGTGACAAGTAGGGAGAACTCCTGTGATCAAGAATAATTTTCCATGCATTTCCTCCAGTTGTTGCAGTCATTCTGATCCACCAGCTTTCTTGGCTGGAGACGTCATAACTCCCCAATGAGATGAGTTACGTAGTCACAGGACCTAACTTTCATAGTTTGTTTCAACATGGTTGGAAGTCTGAATTTCCATGATCACCCTCACCCCACAAGGAGATACTAGACTTAAAGGGAGACATCACAGGAGTCATTCGAACTGAAATAGAAAACATTATAAACTAAATGCCTTTATCTGATGTGGAAAAGAAGACAATTATACTTTTTGTTTCCAGGATGAATTATAAAACCCCTATTTCTAAGGACACTCAGCTCTCAGTAAACTATACTTGTTTTCTCCTGGCCCACAGGCACAAAGACGGAAAAGTGGTTATCAGCTGCATATGAAATTAGCTGTGATATGCACATCTGCTAAAAGTAAAAGCATCCTTGTTTATGACTGAATGGGCAATTCTCTGTAGCATGCTGTTGAATGATCCCTGAACAAAAAAGGTTAAATGTTTGCATGTTGACCCTAACTTTATTATGAAAAGGAAGTCTCATTTAGGATGGAAAAGGTTTCCTTTAATAATGTTTATAGTACACATAGCCTGGTTGCTACGACAACAGGACAACTATTCTCTACAAACAGGAGCTAAGACCCTAAAAATAAACAGGCTGACCAAAATCGTGAACAGGCAGTTCAGTCAGGGAGTGTCAGCTTGTTATATGGATCATGTTTGTTTTGAATACATTAGGAAGATAAGTCAATTGTAACCACTCAAATCTGCACATAGTGAATGAGGCATTGTCTTGTGATTCGATCCCTTTACATTTCAGAAGCTACTATTTAACACCAAGATCTTGTACCCACACTTGAGTGGGAAGAGATCGAAAATGAAATTCAGGAATTAGCTCAGTGGAAGCAAAAAAATACATACCGTGAATGTGGTATGTACACATGTACTACACACATACCCAACAATGCACACGCTACTCAAACATAACATCATCTTGAACTTATATAATGCTTTCATCCAAGGCCCTCAAACTAATTTATCAAGATGGGTATCAGCCTCATTATACAGGTGAAAAAACTGAGGGGCAGACGCATATAAAAACTTGCCTATGATCACAAACAGACCATGGCAAACTTTGGAACAGAAACCATGGCCCTGCTCTAACTCACATCATCACATTGAGCCAAATAAGTAATAAGTACCAAATGGCAAAGGGTTTAAGTCTTGTAATTAAAATACTACATCAGAAAGGAAATAGTCCTAGTTTTAGAGAAAAGTGTTCCACTAAAAATGCCATGATAAAAAGGCTGAGGGAAGACTGCTGGATAGCTTTAAATCTGAGACTAGACATTCATACAGTCACCACTGTAGAAGTGTGTGTTAATTAGGTATATCCTCATTTTCAATAACTGTATTACGTAAAAAAAAAAAAAAAAGATTTAAAGCACTTCAAACAAGAAGAGAGAGAAAGGAAACTTCACGCCAGATAAAGGGAGAGCTTCCACCAATCATGAAACAACTGTGATAGTAGTGACACAGATCAAAGTCCTGAGGAGAACTACACCATTTCAAAGCTTTTAACAGAGTTGCTTTCATTTTCCAACTTCCTGGCAAACACACAGAAATCCCCTCCACCCCGAATCAAACCCCAACCTTTTCATACAAATAAAGCAAACACCCACCCAAAAAGAACAGTACCTTACTTGCCATTTAAAAATCAGTTTATGTTTCCACAAGTGTGCTAATATGAACCATGTGGGTGTTAAGACACATAAATGAACCCAATACAGAGTGTGTAGGTTACTGTAGATCTTTAGCTTTCTTTTCACTGTGACAGACACAAATTAAGCCACTTGCTGCCTCCTCTTCGGAGAGGATTCAGACTAATCCCCAAGACACCCCATCCTCAAACTCATTCAGTGACACCAGCACCTAAATTTGTTTATTTTTCCACCCAACCCCTACCAGCCATAAAAACATCCTGTTATGTCTGGCTCCTTCCTCCTACAGCCGCCCACTGCTGCTGCCCCATCTCCCAGCCAGGGTGGCAAGCTGGGGGGGGGGGGCGGAAGCAGTTTAGTGGGGTGCAGGAGAGGAGGGGAATGGGGAAAGAAAGAGGGAAAATGGGCAGTAGTAGAGGGCAAGTTGAGTGCAGATCATGGGGTAATTGCTTGGGAAAGGGGGCTGGGATGCATGGGGTGACTGGGAGGGGCAGGAGGCACAAGCACTGGGCCAGAAAACGGGGCTAAGGGGGGAGATCAGAAAGAAGGGGGCCAAGGTGCATGGGGTGACTTGAGGGAGCATATGGAGGAAGACTGTTGGGGTCCACAGGGTGACTCAGGAGGACCGGGCGTTGAGGAAGAGGGCTGGGGAGGGAGAGTCTTAGGGTCCAGGGAGTGACTAAGGAGGGGAGAGAGCTGGACTGGGAGGAACACAGGGGGGAGGGGGGATGCATGGGGGACTCAAGGGGAGGGGAATGGCTGGGGTACATGGGGGAGGCAAGAGAGGGGAAGTGTTAGGATCCATGGGGTGACTCAGAGGGACAGGATGGGGGGGAACACGGAGGGACTCGGGGGGTCATGGGCAGGATTGGGGGACATGGGAGGTGCACAGGGTGACTTGGGGGTCGGGGGCAGGACTGGGGAACACGGGGGGGTCAGGTCGCATGGGGTGACTCAGGGAAGGGGCAGGACTAGAGAGATATGGGGGGAGGAGGGGTGCACAGGGGACATGGGGGGTCGGGGCACATGGGGTGACTCGGGGCAGGACGGGGGGACACGGGGTCGGGGCGCACAGGGGGACAGGGGACAGGACTGCAGGGGTACGGGGGGGTCGGGGCGCACGGGGGGCGGGAAGTCCGGGGGGGGGTCAGCAGGGGCGGGGCCGGAGCCCGGACTCACCGAGGCGGAGCCCCCGCTCCCCGAGCGGCGCGGTCGCTGGCAGCGGCAGGTACCGGGCTCCCCTCATGGCCGGGGGCCCCCCTGTCGGGACGGGAGCCGGGCCCCCATCCCGGGCGCTGGAACCGAACCAGAGCGGAGGCGGCGGCGGCAGCGCGCTACATGGCGGGACACAGGGCACATTCGCTCACACGCGACACGGGTCCGTCCGGCCACCGTAAGCCACACTTCCGCCCCGGAGGGAGGGGCTGGAGACAAGACTAGACTTGGCCAATTACAGCTCGCCCCTTGGGGAACAACTGGCCTATGAAAAGCCTTGTTCCACCCCCTTCTCTGCAGAGCATTATGGGGAATGTAGTTCTTTGGAGGGGGGTTGGCTCTAGTAGAGGCCAGCTGGACATGTGCCTAAGGACTGGACAGGGCGCTAACGCTGAGGGCAGACTGCTGGGTTCTCCGTCCAGCTGTTGGGCAGCATACAAGACCCAGGAGGAGTCCTGAAGTGTCTGTTTAGATCCCCCAGTCACTGTATGAGCTTGGGCAAATTACAGCACCCACCCATTATATGGCACCCAGGCTCTCTATGTTCAGGGGTGTTGAGCACCAGCAGCTCCCTACTCCCACATCAGGAATGGGAGCGGGGGTACGCAGCCTTTCTGAAAACCACACCAAAGGCCACAGCTGCTGAGAGTGCAATATTAATAGGCATAAGAAAGTTGGCCTTGGCGGCCCTGGGGTTGCTTTTGCAAAACCAGAACAATGATACTGGCTCATTTTAAAGGGGGAATGGAGGTTGTTTCATTCATTAACAAGGGTAGTACGCTTTAGAATCCTTAGCGGAAAAAGCAGACAGGAACATTAAAATCACAAGTTGACGGTGCTAATGTTTTTACATACAAACTTTAAAAACTCTCAGTGCCTCCTGTAGCAGCCCCTGTTTTCATATGTACACAGTCACAGAGCTAAAGAAAAACGTAAGACGGTGAGGGAAAAAGGTAAGAGACTGATAATGTCAGCCGAAATTAAGAATTTTTGAGGCAGAGAGGTATAGGGAAGCTATTGGAGATGACAGATGCTGAATAAAGGGTTCATCACGGGAGGAGGAGAGGAAAAAAGAGGCAAGGGATAGAAGATCAGTTTGGGAAAGGAAGAAGCGAATTTTTAAGAAAGAAACATGAGCAACTCCATGGAAGATTTTAAAAATCCCTAGCAAGTGCACTTTTGAAGCATGTGATTAAATAAGTGTCAAGTAGAGTTGTTCAAAGGGATGATGCACTAACAGAGGGGAGGTAGCATTCTCCCCAAGCCGGAATACAGGAAGCTGACTTTAGGCCATAAAGAAGGAAAGCTCAATAAGCAAGGTGAAAGGAGATCAAGTCACATGTGACAGCATGAGCAGTGGAATGAGTACAGGCCTACATGGGAAACACTGTGGAGGGAGTGAAGGCCATAATGTGAGGACAGAAGAGATGCAGGAAGAGAAGAAAGTTTCAGGATTAAGTCTACAGTCCATGGAGCGGAATGGGAGAGCGTGTGCTGCGATTGATGAGGATCTTGCCCAAGAGAATTGCTTCCGTCCTTGAGGTTCTTTGTTTGAAGAAAGCAGAAGTGGAGTCACAAGTGTGTGGTCAAGAGAAACTGAAGAGGCGGGAAAGGGGAAGCCCTTGAAAGTGGTAAAATATGAGTGGAGTATCAGCATGAAAATAGTGAAGGTTAAAAGATAAGAGCAGCAGAAAAGATCCTGAACAGTGATAAAAGAGCAGAAGTTCAGGCCCTGAGCCAGAGAGGGTTCCATAGAGGGGGAGTCTTGCTAAAGCTAGGCGCTCCAATCAGACAGTGTCACTTTTCTCACTAACTCTCACTTCACTGTACTCTGCTTTTGAAAGTCACTGTCTGTGCTACTGAGAGAGGTTTATAAGCAAAATATTTCCTCCTTGAGGAATGACACTGCAGTTCTTTTCAGTCATTAAGGAAGACAGTAGAGCTTGGCCACTATATTACATAATAAATAGATTTCTATGGGGGGGGGGTTAAAAATGTATTTCTTATGTCAGAATATCAGGTTCCCCAACCTTTCTAGACAGCTTTCTGTTCTTGTATATGGTTCACTCAACCTACGGTGCTAGAACATGCACTGCTTTTCAGTATCCTGAGACTCCATTTTTATTAACACACCATTCCTTTAAAAGGGAAGTTAGGAGACTACGCACTGCACTCCATGGGGAGCCCTAATTCATGGGAAAGCTCATTAAAACAGCCCACCCACACACTGTCAGGACACAGAGCAATTGATCTTCCAGGGTCAGACATTGAAGGATTAGCTGCTGACTGCTTTGCCTTGGCTTAGAGACCCATTTTGATCAGCCTTCTACTTTACCACCTTATAAGCCTGGAGAGGACAGATGCAGCTTGTCATACTCTCCTCAATGGGATGGTTTCATTTAGGCAACGAAGGCAGCAGATGAAATACAGAGGGGTTTGCACTCTTCCTTCCTCAAAATAGAAACAGCAGTAGTCTCAGCCCTCCATCACATTCCCACTCATGCCCAGCTGCAAAGAAAGCTTAAGCAGCACTTAGTTATGAAAGGGACTGATACCACATATGCCAAAACAGGCAGTTTCAAGTTTCCTGGATGCCATTTCACAGAGCATATTGTGCCCCTTCAGTCTTTTACTAAAATATTTTACCATAATTAGACCCATTAGGAACTCAGTCCTCCAAACCCAACTGAGCATAGGGGCAGATTTTCAAGAGAGCGCAGCACTCAAAAAATACAAGACATGGCCCATGATAAGTTTCACTTAGGCATTATCTTCATACCCCTTAATATGCTAAAAGCATTTGCTCAGCTCCTGGTTAAACAGGAACACTGCATGTTATACTTTATATTATTTCAACTGAGGTGAGCTATATGCCATTATCACTCCTCCTTCTTTGTTGGATTCATTTAATTCCTTACAATGGCTCTATAATAAAGTGAAGGAAGACATTTCTAGGTTGACAGTTGAAAGATGGGGGGGGGGGGGAGGAAGAGAAGAGACAAGTAATCTTTTTGCTCATGTAAAACATATTAGGAGGCAGTGTGGCCTAGTGGATGAGATTTGTCTGTGATTCAGGATACCTGAGTTAGGGTTCCTGCTCTGTCCCTTGAGCAAGTTACTTCCCAGCTCTGTGCTTCCGATTCCCCACCCTCCTTTTGTCTTGTCCATTTTTACTATAAACTCTTTGGAGCAGGAACGGTTACTATGCCTTAGGACAGCCCTTAGCACAATGAGTCCTGCTCTTTGCTGGAGCCTGTAGGAGCTACTCTACTATAGAAACAGTAGAAGAGATCAGGATACTTCAGCCAAGAGAAGGGATGAAGTCTTTGGATAAACCATTCCTAGCCACCCTCTGTATACTTCTAGTCTCGGTTTTGCAGTTTGTTCCATAGATTCTAGGACTGGAAGAGACCTTGAGAGGTCATCGAGTCCAGTCCCCATGCTGCTTCCTCTATTTACAACTTCTTCTCTTCATACACTGAAGAATATCCCTCCCCCCTTCAGATCCCTCTTGAAAAGCGGCACATGATCTGCCTGACAATATCTACTTTAATTCACCTCAAACAGATATATATTTGTTTGGGACAGAGTAGGGGTCTGATTTTGCAATCCTTGCTCACGGAAGCAGTTCTACTGAAGTCAATTGAATTCCTCATGAGCGCCATTAGATTATTCACAAATGTAAGGTCTGCAAAATTGGAACTCCTACATTGTGAGTTCCTGAAGGCGGGGACTGTATCCCCTCATTTGCTTGTAGAGCACCAAGCATGGCTAACTGCTGCCAATTTGCAACCCCCGTGATTGGTGCTGAAGGTTAATCTTTCATAACAGCCGAAATATCCAAACAAACCTACTAGAACTAAAAACAAAACTACATTAAATACAGATCCTCTCTCCTGGAAACTGGTAACTCACCCAGGTAGATTATCACATACACCCAACACAGTAGGAGTCATCTGAACAGAAATGGGATCCTAGTACTGTGCCTAGCAAGACACTTGCATGGTGGAACAGGGAGATGCTTGACTCCATCTTTTCTAGTTCTTCTCCCCCCCACCACCACCACCCCACAGCTATTTTAAAAAGTCAAGTAAAGAAAGGAGAGGGTCAAAGTTTGTTCTGAAATGTACCATGACCCACTCAAAGTCTGCTGGCACTGTAACTTCTGCTTGCCACTGTGCTATTGATTGCGTGGCTAGCTGGACTCTGCTTACTTCAGTGGTGTTACTCTTGATTTACACCAGTGAAATTAGAGACAGCCCCTAAGTATTCATTATTGGTGTGTGCTGCAGTAGCACATAATGACCCTAATCAAGGATTGACACCTAAGTGCTGGGCACTATACACAAGATTGCCACATGAAAATCAAGAGGCCCAGTTCTGATCTCTCTATGAAACTCTGTTGACTTCACTAGAGTTACTCCCAATTTTTAGCAGCATAAAATAGGATCAGGGTTGATTAGCAGAATCCACTCAGAACAAATAATGTTAGAACCCTACAGGAAGGAGCATAAGTCCCATTAAAAAAATAACTATCAGTGACAGTATGTGCACATATGGACCAAAGAATCTGGATCTGTGGGGGGTAGGGGAAAGCAATGTCAGGAACATCTCACCTCATTCATGAGTCTGACTTGGATATTACTGGGTTAGTGTCCTGCTTAGATGAGACTGGGGGAAATGGAGGCGGGGGGGCAAAGCAAGGTGGAGCAGGGAACAGGGCAGAGTTAAAAAAAAAATCATATGCAGAGAAGCTTAAAAGGAGCAGAAACAAAGTTTAATTGTTAAAGATTTATACTGGCATGATTGGGGCCCCTTTGTGGAAGGCTTTGTAGAGAGAGTAAATAGTTGTCCCTGTCCAAAGAGCAATTCTAGAAAGACAAAATCCAGTAAGATCACTGCAGGAAAAAAGTTTTTTTTTTAAAGCATTGACATATTAGAGAAATCTCACAGCAAGTTCCTGACTTCAGGACTATATGATCTTTAGCTGGGCTGGTTGAAGGAGAATCGTAGATGCAGGGGTAGCCAACACATTATGCAACAGCAGGTC